AAAAAAACATACCGTATCGATGGGGAATACTCCCTGTTGAAATGACATGCCAGTCTTAAAGTTGTAGTCAATTACTGGATTGTAAATAGGGTATTCATCGTAGGTGGTCGACTATAATGAGGATGTTCGAAGACATCAAAATGAATGCTTAGTATGTGACAGGCTTACGGTAACTGTGGCCGTGCTGGATTCTGTCAACGGGGTGTATTTTGAGGGAAAAGACATTTTCCCAGTATCAGTGGAATATGCATCGCTTCGCCTTGAATCTTTATAATTCTTCTGACGTTCTACAGTACTCAGTGGGTCAAACTTTGCAATCCGGTCCTAGATGGTAAAGCTCTGATGAAACTGTCTAGCAAACTTCAAAGACTACATTTTTCTAGTTTACTTTTGCGTAAATGATGTTTCTTTTGATGACGGGGAAGCCAGTTCTTGGTGCAGGCGTAGGTGGCAGTGAAGGCAACAGTTGATCCGAGTACCCCGACTGCGTAAATAGGTACATTATGAAAGGACAGTAATATCATAACAGAAGAACTTTGTGGGAAGGTGATAAGTGCTAAGCTTGTAAAGCTTTGCATAGAGAAGCATAAACGAACTGAAACCATGTTTTCGAAGCCATCGTACGGCTCGTCATCGGGTGGTGGTGGTGGAGGTCGATCTGGCGGTGGAGTACCTGCTAGCACCATCGTCTCTCTTGCGTCGTAATCGCAGTAGCTGCAAAAATGAAAACGATTAGGTCTAGATATTAACTTTCCGTTCACACAACAATATCTTATAGATTTTTTAATTCGAAGGATTTATTGACGGAGCCCGGTACGAGGGTGGCAAATGTCAAGCTGGAAATCATTATGGGAAAAAGGCAAAGTGGATATCGCAACTACACTCCATCTGCACTACGTTATAGTGTGGACACCGTCCAGCCATAGGTACCTGCGCGACGCACCCGCACGTACTCTTGTTTTTGTTGTACTATATTCTCTCTTTTAGGAATAAGCAATCCGCGATAACCGGTGACGAGGTTTTACGTGCTGTAATAGTCCTAAGAGCTTTAGTCTTGATTAGCAGTCTTGTGTTTTTCCCTTTTTTTATGAAATTAAGATTTGAGATAAATCTTAAGGGGATATTCCTTCAAATGCTTCTTTTGCGAACAAAGAAACCCTTTCGGATCGATTTGTAAGTGTAGACAGTGTCTCAAGTCAAAATTAAGCCTTTCGAGAAGCCGGTAGGGATT